GTAATTTCCCTGTGACGGCTTAGTGTTCAGATGCAAGCTTGTTTACCGTACTTTAATATGTAAGCAAAAATTTCCAACCTCGTTTACATAATTTTGATGCCCCTTATCATTATCACTGCAAGAGGAAAACGTGAGATTGAAACCGATTTTTTTACGCATAATAGGCATGAAAAAATGAGTTTACATCAATGGGTAATTAAACGCAGTAAAATCAAAAGAATAATTAAAAGGCGGAATAAAACATAGCAAAACCTCACATTAACCCGGGCAGGAAAACAAAAGCAAATCTTCTTTAACTAGGCTAATTCATTAACGATTTGGTTCTACTTGGCAAAATACAGAACAAAAATAGCCTACAAAGACTCCAGGTGTAAACGAATCTATTATGACTTTTGTGAAACTTGTTCAGTGGGGTTTGTGCATTGAAATTAAAGCTGCAATCAAATGGGTCCCTTGAAATAGGAGGAACGCGTCATATACGCAAATAAAAAAGAAATTCTGCTTATTGGTCAATTAAATACGGATCAACGTCGAGAAGATCCGCACAGGGAGGAGCAGGGGCCAAGTGGGAGGGGGCAAAGGGAATGAAAAGATTGGAAAGAGGGAGTGTAGTGACCAAGTGTCTATCTGGGTGTACAGTTTAGTGTAGATTTCCTGATGTGATCGACTAACCAAGTGAAGTCGCTTTTCAAAACCCCACTCACCGACACACGCCTCGCTAAATGCTTTGCAGTCACTTGCATTGATTTTCTTTATCAAATAAACAGAATGCCACCGATATCAAAGCCCCTCTACTCAGTCATGCTCCCACATGGTAGCAGCTGTGATTTCATATACATTTATTTAACTGGCGTTTCCCTGTTTTAACAATCCCAGCTTTAACTAATCACATTGTTTAAGTTAATTAATTAACGTTTTCAGGTCGACGCAATTCACCGATCGTCAAATGGATACATTTTTTCGTAACTGATGAAATATTACAATGAATTTGTTTATTTATTTTATAAAAAACAGCACTATGAATTAAATCACTCAAATATGTCCTATTTCCATATTATAAATAAGTTTGGTGCATTAAGAACTATTATAATTGAGGCCATCGGAACATCGACTGTTGTTTTGTATATGAAAATAATTGAGAACATCTGTAACTTGGTCGTTAAATGAATTAATGTGTTGTATTTTTACTTTACTCCTTTTTGTATATACTCGTTTCTACTAAGAAACAGAAAGTCAGCGCAGTTCCCATGCTGGGTATAGATTTTCGTTTATGTAATCGATTGGAATGCCCCAATACATTGATTAAGATTTAGTGTTTTACCAACAACCATTTATGTATTTCGATGTTACGCTGGAAATTATTTTAGCATTACATTGTTCATAGATCTGTAGGCCCACATCATCAGCAACAAAAAAATCAAACAATCACTGAATATGACTCCAAAATTACGTTCGTTGCAAAATACAGAAAAAAAGCAGAAAAGGGGACAGAAAAAGAAAGGAAAGCCACGAAAAGTCATTGTCTTTTCGAGATCATATCCTGTAGGATGAGTACAGCGCCTTTCGTCTTTAAAGAAATCGCCATGAATTATATGCGATCACCGAGTGATTGCAGAATATTAAATTAAACTTAGATAAATCCGTATTGAGGGAGGCTGCCCCCAGTCCCAACTTATTTCCCATTTTCTGTAACAGCATCACTGCGCTCATCTCTTTTGCGATCGCCATGTGCCAAATCTCGGCATTTTGAAATCTGTTTCTATATCCTTAAAGAGGGACTTCAGAAGGGAAGAAGAAAACGGCATGCCCTTTTATCCCAAAGGTAAAAAATATATGTTATTTTCGCTGAGGTAACATTTTTGCATTTTAGACGTTGCAGTACTGAAATGGGATATTTTGCCTATTTCATTGTGCGCGCTTATAATGTTTGCTTCTAATGATCCTCGAACAACTTTTCCATTCACCTTTAACAGGAAAGTTCGTTTATGTTCAACGTTTAATACACAGTATGAATTGACTGTGCATTATGGATTAACGGGTGGTTACTAGATTTTTTTAAAATCAAAATAATCAAAATGAGCTTATTATATGTTGATATTATATCTTAATGGGGAAAGTATGTATTAAATTAGATATTGTTATAGTTTAGTTCATCACGTCATTTATGACCTTCGAATATCTGAATTTAAGAACTAACTCGTTCTTGTCTGTTGTTTCCAATTGTACGTCCAAAAGCTGTACATGTATATGCGCTGTTGTTTTATTTTGCTTTTTCTCTTATGTTCTTTTTATGCCCTACGCAGCACTTAAAAATGTTTTTGCGCTGCTCTTAGTTTGCTAAACGATTACTTAAGTCATTTTAGTTGTTTGTTTGTTCCGCCGAGGTAACACCAATAGAGTCGCTGCATTAGGGTGCTAGTTTGGTGTTTTGTTGTTAACGTTCTTGAAAAGGATACGGAGTTGCTCTGTTTATACATCTGATCAATTCTGGAGTAGAGAAGGGGCAAGCTCTGTCAAAACTGTGACCTCTTAAACCCCAGAGGGCGCCAGGCGTTTTAACAGAAATTATAAGAAGCGCGGTTCACGAATATAATGTGAAAGAAACTATCAAAATAATAATAAAAAAAACAAACAATGAAACATCAACAAACAGAACGATTACTAACAAAATACACAAAATCAGCACATTCCACGGGAGCTGGAGGATAAAGCCACTGAAGTAGCTGTTTGTATGACTCAACTGCACATTTGAAGTCACTATGGAGAAAAAAAAATCTACATGGAATTTAGAATATTAAAACAATTAAGAATTATAAATACCTCGATACTGAGAATCGTGCGGTTATCAGAAAATACTGTAGTCAATAATGCTCATTTAAGCTTCCTTTTGCTGAAGTCTCCTCAAACTGCATAAAGAAAAAAAAACGTCTCCAAAGAACATTCAGTCTCTCTTCGGACGAAGATATTTTAAAAGGACATTCACTCACTAAAGCTTGAGTGCGCGGATGGTTCGCAGATAACAATCTACAATTAATTGAAGGTGCGGAGATAGGGAATTGGAGAGAAATTTTTAACACGGTCTTTGTCAAACAGCCCCGAGAGAAGAAGCAGCACCAGCTGAGAAAGTAAGAGGGTGGAGACAGGGGGGATTTGGAATTGACCGGAGCGCAGATAAGAGCCAGCGGTCTTTTTCACATGCTTGACTTTTTTCCATTGTGAAAAACACTTTCAGGGAAATTAACGCAAATAATAAAATGGATGCGTCACGCCGAGATCTCGAGAGAAACTAATTATATCAATAAGAACAAAATGGTCCGGTAATGACGAAATTTTAAAAAATTAACTGTATTTACACGTTCTTCAGGCGACAGCTGTAAAATATGCTCATCCAAAACGTATGTATTTCGTGCGACCGACAATCCAGCGCTTCAGATTTGAACTGATAAACAATTAAAAGTAGGCTAGTACTGGGATAGTTTCTCCTCCATTCATTTTTATGATAGTATTACTGATACCCGTGCCTCGGTCCACTTTATCGCACTTGGTTCTGGCAGGGTTTCTTTCCCTGGAGGGACAGCGGAAAAAAAAGGAAAATAACGCCTCCGTTGTCCACCTTTCGCCGAGCTGAAAACCCAAATAGGAACCCAGACATAACAATCCAAGGACAGGCTAAGGGGATCCAGTGTTACTGCGGCCACTGTCCCGTCCTGCCGGCATCCTTATCGTGAGATCCGGAAAGCCAGCTCACTCAATTCGCCTTCTTCGATTTTTCATAAAGATGAGGCGATCCCATTTTCTCTGCGATTAACATCTCGCTGGGCCTCTTTTCGATAGCGACTATTAGGAGACAAAGAAAAATATAAAGTTAGGATAATTCAGACGGTACTTGTCTTAGTAGATGCATCTTTAAAAACATGGGTTAACTGGTGTAGGCTAAGTTTACCGAGTTTCATCCACACCATCAAGCGCATAGTTCATATTTTTTGAAAAAAATTATAGCATCTCTATAGAATCTCAAGTAGCCAATATTCAACAATATCCAGATAAATACGGTAAAAACTATTCTTTGGGGCGTTTTCTGTCGTATAGTTGCTGTGGTTAATTCTCTCCTGATCGTGTTATTATCCTGCTGGTTTGTTAACGTAAGTGTCCGAAAAAACGTTCAGATAAACGAAAATTATATTAAAGAAACACGTCGTGTTTTCAGCAAAGGTTTATAAGCAGTGTACCTGTGTAATATCCAGTAATTCTACATATAGCGTAAGGCCTGCAAACCCAGTAGGCTAAGTGCAGTCCCAGATACTCGTTTTTACACTTACTTCGGGTGTTTGACCTTTAAAATACAGTTTAAGGCACTTCAGGGATTAAAAACAATACCAGTTAGTATTTTAACACTACTCCTCATGTTACTTGTGTATTTCTTAAACACCGCACCCTAGATTTTGCAAACCGGGTTCTGCGTTTTACAAATAAATACACGCACACGTAGTTTTTAGCGGTTATATTATTTGAATATGCACGTTCATGAACTTTTGCAGTTTTGGCAATTGTATTTGCACTGTTGAGAAAAGTTGGCATTAAGTTAAATATTCATCTAGTGTACGCTCATATTATTTAGGGATACGTCTTTGTTGATATTCCCTAGCTGGATATAAACTAGTTGGCAGTGGTCCGAGATCCTCACTGAAAATACGGATTCACTGCAATTCTTGGATGATTAGGAAAATCTCCTTCACCGGCTCTCTTGGCGACTTGTGTATTTTAGACACCTCCAGTACGTCCCGTTAGATTTATTATCGTTATTTTTATTTCTGGACATTGTTGCCCTGCAGCTTTCTAAGCCGAAACAGCGCGTCATATGCAATGTACAGACTGTTGATCACCTCACTAATTACACCTCTCTCTCGCTCTCCCCTCTCTCCCTCTCCCTCTGTCTCTCTCCCTCTCTCTCTTCCTCTCTCTCTCATTCCCAGAGTGCATATCGGGAATAGACACACAAAGACATGCGCACTCAACTTAATCAGCCATTTTTTTAAACAGGGCTAAAACGATAATAATTAGCAGAATAAAGACATATCGGATTTTCATTTCCTTTCCTCCTTTTCCGAACCCCTCCACAACCTAAACTGCAAGGCAACGGTCGACACATGCTTTACCAACCGGACCCAAAGGATCGTTTCATCCTCTCAAAATTCGTATTTTTATTATTTTTTTCCAATAAAGTTGGAGGATTATTATTTTTTTCATTTTTTCCCTTTTTTATTAACTTTCTCTATCATTGGATGTGACTTGCTTTAACAAACAAAATAGTAGGTGAAGAAGCGGAGTGAACTGCGGGAGGGAAAAAGTAAGTTTTTTCTTTTCTTTTAACTTTTATTGAGCAGTTCGTGTTAAATTTAGGTTTTGTATTGATTATCTTTCTGGTCTGACCCAGTGCAGTCTTTGATATTACGCTCTCCTGATAACTGCAATTTTCCGCGATCTTTCTTTTTCTTCTTTTTTAGCAGTTTTTTAAAAACGTCTATCAGTATGTTTATCCATAGTCGTTCCATCAGCTTTAAGAGCTGCGGACTATCAATAAAGTAACAAATATGAGTGACACCGGAGTCACTGCCAAAACTACTTCAATAGCTGGACCTCTTAAACACTACTTATTATTGTTTATTGCATATGATAGACAAATGTGCACAGATGATTCCCTATGGAGTTATACACCATCGAAGACAGGTATTCCTATAGAAACGTGAAGCAGAGTTCACATTTCAATTGGGGGAGATAGTGGATTATTTTCTATTACGTACGAATGAGCGTTTCACAGCGAGAGCGAAAATCCTTGCCTTTGAATTTTACAGTACGTTAGCTATAACCTTACATAAACGTTACAAATATTTAGACAGTTAAATGTATATTGTAACTGACGGCGGATATTTGTGAAATAACATTTATGTTTGGTGTTGATAAACAGAGAGTCGCGCTGGTTAATTTAATTCCCGTGGCGATCCGGTATCTGTTTTAATTTGAGCGTTTTTCCGGTTACCTGCTATCTGAAAAGAAGCTCCCTTAGCGGCAGCTCGGATTTTGTACCCAAAAACGAGTCGTACAAGCTGGTCCATAGAATGGGGAAGAAAAAAAAAAGAAAAAAAAAAAATATATATATATATATATTTATATATATATCAGCAGATGAAAAAAAATAATCAAGCTGCAGATAAAAACAAAAAATGTGGACGAACTTTTCTTTATTGGCCAGTTGCTTCTTTGACAGCTGTTCAACGGTGTAGGATCCTCTGCTCCGGTATTTTCCTTTTTTGAGGAATCTGATTTTTGTCAAAGTTGGTCGGTTGGAGGTTTTTTTTCACTGTAGCGAAGTGACCCGGCTTGTCCATTGTGTTATTATTCTCGTAGTCGTATTATTCTTGTTACCGGCGGGGGGGATTAAAAAACGAGGAACGAGGGAGGCGATGGGAGTCCAGCCTTTGTGGTTGCTAGTTAGTTTGAGGCAGAGACTTGGCTACGATTGGGACGCGACAGTGACAGGGGGCATCGATCGCTCCGCATTGAGAGCGGAGAAAAAACGGGGCTGTGGTCAAGCGCAGCGCAAACCTGGGTATGTAACTGTCGGTGTCAGCGCTCTCCGGCTCCCCAGCAAAACCTTAACCCGCTTCTCTGGATAGCCGCTTTTGTTTTCACTCTTTAAAAGAACTTTACATAATTTAAAATACAGTTTTATTGCGAACGGATATAAATGTGTCTTCATTTGGAAAATCCGATTTTTCCCCCCTCCGGATATGGGAGTTTTAAGAAATAACACTGCGGAGAGTATTTTACTGATGGCGATCTGTAGTAATCCATGTAATGTTATTAATGTAATAATTACTGTCGTTGTTATTATTATGATATTGTTTTTTTTTTGTAATAGTAGGCTATCTCTATTGTGTTTAAAAAAGTTAATTAGATATCTCTGTTTTTCAAGGGAAATTGTTAAAGGAAGTAATAATTTACTTCAACTATGCAGATATGATTATGTTTCGATGGTTTTGTTTTAGATTTTCCTTTTGAGTGAGTGGCTATATTTGCGTTGAGAGCACTATGGTATACACACAGCATTTTCACATGTATCTGACTGGCTTAATCGATCCGTGTGGCTTGTGAAAAGATACTTATTACTTTTAATAATACATGGAATTACAGGAGCTTGTAGGAAATTATCGCAATTTAAATTAATTCTCAACCGTTATAGTCAGCACGCAGTGATGCACTAAATACACAAGAAATTGCAGAATAGGAGTCACTGGGCTTTGAAAGAGGAATTTCTTCTTTTCTTTGAACGTTGCACACGAACCTATATAGTGGTGTAATTCTATACGACATGTAGGGTATATGCATAAATACAAACAAAAACATATGTATATTTAAAGATGTATACTATGTTGCAAATTTGAAATGTAGGCAGAGAAAATTTTCGTAAAGCTAGTGAGGGAAGCCCTTAATAATTACAGAATCGGACTTATTTTGCAGTACGATAGGCTTAGGATCCTCCAAGGGTCGACAATGTGTCATTTCCATGAAGCGAAATTGCCCTCCGCCTATATGATATTAATGTGCAAATCAATATTTCAGGGATTAAATTTCCCTTCTTCATTTTTTATGGTTTCTACCTCAATAAGTCTCAAGTCTAATAGAAGGAGCCTGGGAGATTTAAAATTCTTCATGTCTGAGAGGCCCGTAGCATTTTAATGTTCTGCACTGGAAATCCAGTGGCACAAAGAGGATGACCGTCAATTCAGTCAGACACCAAGACCCTTAATTTAGGTAAAAGGCCAAAAGAGAAATGTGTATCCATCTGGGTGCTTAAGCATGGCCATGGATGAATGTTTATTTACCTATTACCCTAAACATGTATATGTACAAGTCTTGCATGTACTGAAGCTTAACCCTAATACATTTTATGCATAAATATTTTTATTATTGGCATGTGTGCAGTTGAATAATCTGTGCTGCGATTCCTCAGATGGTAAATAAATATAGGAACACAGAGGATTTGTAAATTTATTTTCTTGTAAGCTGTTAGACAATAGAACGTGCATCGTTTGCCCTTTGGATTGTTACAGTATCGGGATTTAAAAACTATTTGATAGTTTTGCTTTACGACTTGTGTATTATTATTATTATTATTATTATTATTATTATTATTACACAAACATACATAGAAATTGACAGGTCGTTCTATTACTGGATTTTATGCACCAAATTTAAGCCTTGTTTGTTCTTTCTGAAATCAAAATGCTCACATAGGCCAACAAATTGGAATGACATACTGTCTATATCTCAGTGTTCCTTTCTCTTTTTCTTGGTCCAGTTGAAGCAGACAGTTTCACAGCTACGCAAATTTTATATAAAAGTCTTCTCTCTATGCATTATCAAAAGGTCCTTCCCCAAAAATTTTAACTGTGTCTTTGATGTTACCAAGACTGTACCGTGATATCATTCCAAGAAATTATGCTATTCTCATTCATCTTCTTGCTTTATTTTTATAGTATTCATTACTTTTGTCTAAATATCCAAAACATATTTTTTCTGCCCTTACCTAAAGTGAAACATAGTGAGTTTTTTTTGTTTTGTTTTTGATAATCTCAGAATCAATCTGACACTGCTCTGGATGCATTTGCCAGAAAATGTAATTAGATTTAATTAAATCTGTCAAACTAATTAGTGCCGCTTAATTTCCTTCTGCATACATTAATCAGATGCTCACTTGTGTCCTAGTAGCTGAGTGTCTTTTTTTTTAGGAAGGAGGATATTTTCTTAATAGAGGATTCAGTGACTTCTGCCTGATTGATTTCTATGCATATGGTTGGGAAAATTACTTTTTATCATTCATCCTTTTTTTTTTTCTTTAGCTGGACTAGAGTTCAGCATTGCCAGGTTCGAAGGACTCTGGATCTAGGGTTAAGAAGTCAGTGGCATTAATGTATCAGTGGGGGCCTTTTTGTGTCGGCCCCCAGGCTGTACTGTAACACTGAGGGGCTCTTCTGCTTAGAAACTGTCTGAAGGTTTAAATACTTGGATGAGGTTCAAGACTGGAGCGCCCAGGGAAAGTGACTCAGAATATGTACAAGCTTCATGTAATTAGTGCTTAATTGTATTAACATATGCAAATTGTCAACTTGGAGGCTTGTTCAGCTGGCAGAGATCAGCTGAGCACAAACAGCGCATTGTTCCCAGGCAAATAATGGATCTACGAGTTGAATTGTAGCGACGCACAACTAGCTATCTAATTTAAGTTGCACCGTTACGAAATTTCATTAGTTTCCATGGTGACATGGTTAATTGTGCTGAGTAATGTCCTGGGCTGTAGTGTGCTCCAAAATAAAGCCCAGGTTGCTTAATCCACTTTATATTGACACTTGTTTGTAGAGGTTTCCCTAGTGTGGGAATTTGCATATGCAAATTAGATGTTTGCCCCATGATGTTGCAAGTGCGGAGCGACACCATATAGTCCCTGTTGTTGGTTCTGTGTCTCCTAGTCCACCGACATTATTTCATAATCTGTTTCTGATTAATAGACCGAGCTGAGTCTTATTCCGCTCAGGCCTTGGCGAAAGGAGGGTCTGCTTCCATGCTAAAAAAGAGTTTCCCCAGCAACTAATGCAAGCGTTTTTTTTTTCTTACCCCCTTGGCTAATTAAACCATGTCTTTAAAGCAAATCCATTATAATACGGAAAAAAATACTTTTGCTAATAATCTGTGGTTTCCTGTAGCTAAAGAGGTGAAAGCCAGAGAGATGCTAGAATTCCTGGCGTAATCCTGTTTTTTTGACAGAAATGTAAACTGATATAATTGCTTTTCAGTGGGAGGAATGGGGGTTTATACAAGTGTGAAAGCATCGGAAAGGATTAGCATTTTTTTGCATAATGAAAAGCAACGTTGAATGGGGCATTCAGTGGTTGACTGAATGACTGAGATGAAAGGAAGATGAAAATGCCCCCTCTTCTTTCTTTATTTCTATGCCTGTCTCTCCCTAAAGACGTGTTTGTTTGAGGTCTTGAGACAACAAGAGTAAAATCCTGTTTCCAAGATGTCCTCAAATTTTGCTACCACGTGAGGCAATATGTATGGTAATGTTGCCGTCAGAGACTGATAAAGCTTTGCACGCCTGCCCAGTGTAAAGTTTAGCATGCCGTCTCCGTGTCGGAGCGTGTAGGCTTCGTGTCGTTCATTATTTTTTTTATCCCGCTAGAAATGTTTCTGAGCGTTCTCACAATGGATGTGGGGGCTAGTTTTATTTGTTAGTGCTCTCCCCCCTTTGCAAAATGGAAAAAATACTCACATCCCCACAGCTGTGCT